CAAAGGCAAAAGTTTCCTCTGAGGCAAGTGGAAAGTTTCTAATATTTTTCAGCACCTCAGCACAAACGATAAGATCTCTCGCACGCTCTCCTCGGTCTTACCTCGCCCTACCTCTTAATTAGTTGAATTCTATGCATTTTCCACCAGCACGCCAAGGGAATTGGCCAAGGAAAAATTGTAACTGGCAAAGGTAAAGAGGGTAAAGAGGAAAAAAGGAAAAACTACAGGAAGAACAAGTTTCGCTCTTTTGGCATAACTTTGCTAATCTTTTGTTACGCCAAAGTTTCGATGTAGATAAAATGTGGCAAATAAAAATTGTTCAGGCGTGTGCTGAAATTCCCTTGAGGTGCCTCCGCTTTGCCTTTGGACACAGCGGAGTGATGACAATTTTGGTAGTAAGTCGAGTGAGAAAGTTAAATAGCTGATTGGCTAAAGCTACTTATGTTCTTAGAAAGGGTTTACTTTTCACTTTTTTTTATATTAAATTTCCTATTTTAAGGTAGTTCATTCACCTCTTATCAAACAGATAAATCGTGTTAACAAACCGATATCGTTGTCGCATCGTTTATGTGCATTTTCGGCATTTTTCCGCACTCTCCGTCAATGCAACTGACAAGTTTTCAATCTCAGCTCGCCGGCAGCGTCAAAAATAATTGCAAAATGCATCAATCAGCTGTCAGGCATGCAACTCGTCTATCCTTCAGATTGGACCCCGAAATAAAAAAATAAAAATAAAAAAGGAAGTAAAGTTTAGCAAAAGTTGTCGTTGTCGTCGACGTTGGTCTGTCAAATGCAGTCGCTGTATTAATGCCACGACAGTTCATATTTTGACACATCCACAGCCACGAGAACATAGTCACTAACTCTCAGCGTATTTCAATTTGTCCGAAGCGACACTTGAAGGAGTCGTAACTGCTCATTAGCCGGGATTACGTCTAGACCGCATTTCCGATAATTACTCTTGTATTGGCAGACGGCAAAAGTTTTTCGGCCCGAAACTAAATCGAGCACAAAGGCCACCACAGTAGCCGCAAAATCAGACGGTCTAAAGAGCTAAGGAGCATCGGATCTGGCAGGGGCGAGGCAAATACAAGTAGAAGGACTTTGGGCCTGGGCCTGGGTCTGGTACTGGGATTATGGCCAGAGGACAAAGCGCAATCAGCAAGTTGACTGCGGTTTCTCGGCTCGACTCGGTTCGTCCTTCTCAGTCTCAGTCTCAGTCTCCATCTAGTTGGCCAGCTAATGCGGTCGATGTCGCCGTCCTCTGATTGATTTTTACATGCCGCTTTGTGGTACGCTACTCGTCGTCCTACGCCGATTCCCCTTGGGACTGGCCGTCGTAATACTTTTAATTGACAATTGCGGAAATGCAAGGATACAAGGAATAAAAATCCAACGGTCGACCGCACAAAAGTTTTCAATATTTCAACAGCAGCCGATGGACAAGTGAAGGAATGAGAAGGAGGCAGTTCAATAACCAAAATGGCATCCACATGTAAACGGGAAACAAGCAAATTGGTTAACAGAAAAACCGCAAAACCTTTTAATAATGGCAGGGCTGGGAAAGGGAAAGGAAGAGAGCGGGGGCTGAAGCCCTATAAAATGTGTGTAATGGCTTATTGGAATTTTAGGCCGTAGAATGATTAAATTAAATGAAGAATTTTTAACATTCGTTGGGGATAACAGCCGGGCATAATTTATACAGCCAACATTTTTCAAGGTTTCCATGGCGGTTCGCAGGAAAAATTCAAATTTTATTTAAGGAATTTATTTTCATTTTTGTACTTAATTTTATAACAAGCCGATCACTATGATGCTTAACTTGTTTATGTATGATTTTAATAATTATTTTCAATGGTTAAAAGTTCGCGTTTCCTATAATAGCTCCGATTATCAAAATATTAATCTAACAAATTATTTTCTAAAGTAAGGTAATATGAATTTGACCAAAATTTAACAGGCCAAAGGATACCCCGCCCAAGAGCTTTATTTAATATTCTTGTAGCGTTTTGAATGTTACGCAACACGAAGCGTTCGCCCAAAGACAGAGCCGCAATTCCCAAAATATCAATTATACGACCGAAAAATACGAGCCATAGACCAAAGAGGCGGCGGCAGTTGGGGTAGTCGCTTCTAATATAACGGGTAATTAAGGCGTTCGCAGACAGACGGACGACGCTGGACCAAAATTACCCTCAAAGCATTTCTCCGGTTACCTACGGTTCCTCTAGGATTTCCCAGTCACATTCGAAATGCTGGCAACGTAATTTGGCAATTTACGTGGCAGCTGGCCCGGGCACTATGTTGTAATACAAAACTTATATGCGGGTGTTGAATTTCAATAAAATATGCAAGGTAAGTGATATGGCCAGCCTGGCAAGACCAGGCATTACTTGCCACTCCAACGTGCCACGCCGTTCCGCTCTCATTCGGCGAGGCCGTTGCGGAAGGATGGTTAAAATAAATTAAAAATTGTGAATGCATATTTTGCGCATTAATTGAAGATGACCGCTCATTAAGCCCGTCGGAACAGTGGAATAAACGGAGCTGCACTCGAAGCACGCATGCCGCGTCCTAATTGGAATACACTGGTTAACATGGTTGGGGAATAATATTATATAAGAAAATATTCTTACACCTTTAATGGAGTTTTTGTCCTCTCATCTCATAGCTTTATCTAAGTTTCTTATTTTATTATAATTTAAATAATTAATATACCTTAAACCTGCTGCCTAGTGTAATCCACTGGGCATTCGCTACTCCATTGCCATGTAAATTGAGGAGCTTTAGCCCGCCCTCATGCATTTCCATTCAACTCGGACCGATAATTAAGATGTGAGGCAAGTGGACGCCAATCATTTCGATAAATATTTAAAACGACAAACGCGGTCGGTATAAATCAATGGAAAGTGTAAGGCAGCCATGACAGCCTCAACCGCTACGGCAACCAAATAAATAAACACATTCGGGCAGATTTATTAGCACGTATTTTATACACACACACACACACACACATACTCACTCGTATATATATATAGTATGGGTGGTCTGGACAATCTAGGCCCTCATTATGGGTAAGTGATTCGCTGCTGGCTTGGCTACTTCCGTTCAAAAAAAAAAATCCAGAATCGCAGTAGGCATCGGGCAATTGATTTGGCGTTTGCCTTTGATCGATTAGAGCCATCAAAGCAGCGCCCTCTGGCCCGGTCGGCTATTTACTTTTGCTATGAGAAATGGCCGGACCCGGCCCGGAATGTTTGCCATTTCATCACGGAACGCTCGACTGGGCCGCCCGTTGAGCGAAGTGCCAGTGCACGTTTGGGGCCTCATTTGTTTTTATGCCGCAGTCAAAAGGGACGCCCAAAAGCGTGGAGGAGCAGGCGCAGGCCAATCCAAAAGGTATTCAAAAATGTGCAAGCCTATGCTAGAGATGGGCCTTAGATTCGGATGAGTTTTTCAATATAGCAAAAATTCTATTTAAAAATGTTGATAATTTCCCGGGCTTTTCTTTGGGTTTTATGCTAGGAAAATACTAACCTTTTGTTGGAAAAATGTAATATCCACACTCACGAGTCCATCTTTAACTAGAAAAGTGTTTTCTTTTTATGATTCCACTTTTTGGCTGGCCTTTTCTTTATTTGCTTAGTGTGTGCAGTTATGGAATGGGATGAAATGTTGGGGTAGTCGGGAAAGGGATGTCGGAGGTTTTTTGACCCACCATTCCCATCTGATGCCTTTTGTGTACTGAGCAAAAGTTAAAAACGGCGCTAATTTTATGACGGCCCAACTTTGGCACTTGTCAAATGGAAAATTTCATACCCCAAAGGGCTCCTTAGATGGTGTGGTGGGTCGTCTCCTTTGGTCCAAAAACTCTTACACTTTGGCCCAGTGGTTTTTATGCTAATGTGGAGAGTCAGTGAGTGAGTGCTAGTGAGTGGTGGGTGTTTTTTTTTTATTTGCGTTTTGCTGCAGATCTTTTGAGGTCTGCCGTGGTCTTTAAGCCAACACACTGGGCCATCCTTAAGCCGTGCTGCTAACTCCGGCAGTTGGCAGTTGGTGGGACTCTGACTTGGCTGTTTGTGTGTTAATTACTGCGGCGGCGTGTGCGGCACTCGTGAATCATGACTTCCGACTTGACTTGCCAACCATCCCACAGCCATACCGTCATACCGCCAACCCGCTTTCTAATTATGTTGCAGTGGAGTCGGTGGCAGTGGCAACAAAACAAACGGCAAGGCAACAATTCAACCGCAAACGCATTTAGTTCATGTTGCACACACACACAGCCCGAGAATCCAGTAAATAGTTTACCGAATTCAGAAGGAGAAGGCCTAGCTACTTGCCTACTCAAGCAGTGATGGGGGTATAGTTAGGTACAGATTTGGGTACTGGTTTTCGGTGAGATTAGGGTAACATATAGTCTAGCATTGAAGTGATTTATATTAAACTCAAATACTGTTAGTTTTAAGCTATTTTACCTTTTCAATATACACAAATTTAGTTTGATCATAACTTCTGATAAACTTGAACTTAAAAAGTTGTGTAACTTATACCAAAAGTTATTTATGGGAAAGGCAGTACCTTTCCCATCTCTGGTGGGTTGCTTGTGGGTTGTACTCCATGTCACTGCAGTGCACACGGCGACCTCATAATAAAGGCATCTCCTCGCCCCGCCGCCCATTTGTGTGTGTGCTGTAACATTTCTCAGCTGCCGCATGTGGCAAGTGCGGTAGACCGTCAATTTGTGCAAATGCTTTCAGCTACCTAAGTCAGTTGGCTTCGACCAGGCAAGGTACCCCTAACCAGCCAGGGTTTATTTGCTTAGCCAAATTTGTCTTAATTCATTTGGATTAACGACGAGCCCGATGAATGGGAATGCTGACAACCACCCACTTCTCCACAAGCGAACGGGTGATGAATAATTTATATACTCAGCCAGATGATCCATCAGATTTGGATTTCAATTTGCGATTTAGAAACCCAAAGAAAAGAGCGTGGCGTTTAAAATGTTTATTATTATGCTAGTTTTATTTACCATCTTTGTTTGCTTTCATTATCGGCTTTCACTTCGGTTTCGGGCAGTTAAATGCAATTCGATAACAATATGTTTGCTAAATATTAATAAATATATCAAATGTCCCGCTGTTACGGCTGCTGCTCATTTCCATTTCATATTTACTTTGGTAATATTTTACAAATAAATTGAAATTTATACACATGGTGGTTATATATATAACTATATACGACTATATATATGTGAGGGGGATGTACATATCAAAAATAAAAATAAAATCTCAAAAGGTTTTTCCGGCAATGTCAGAACTCAATCAATTGAAATGAAAGTGTCACGGAATAAAAATACAAATTTGATTTTGAACTTACTTCTATGTTTTTTAATACTAATTATTTTCTTTTTGATCTCTTTTAATATATATATATATATATTGTAGTCATGTTGCCGTGGGCAAAATTCGCTTGATTTGCCCCAAAACATACTTTTTGTTTTTTTGTGGCGGTTTCAATTGAGTTTTTCCTTTTGTTTTCTGGCTCTGTCTCTGGGATTTATTATCTGATTTGATTGGTAGTTCTTACTAGCAAACACATTTCTAGTTGTCGGCCAGCACGTACGTATATACTCGTATATATATATATAAATACTTATTTGTTTAGACAGTTTACCATTTATATTTATAGGTATTTACTCTTGCACTTGCACATACATATACTCGTATCTCGTATCTCGTATCTCGTATCTCGGTAGTTTTATTTGAGTTCTCTGTTTACTATTGATATTAAATTTATTTATGCACTTTAGCGGCTTTGTTTGATTTTCGTTTTGATTTTGTCATAGATTAAATAACTAAAATTGAGTTTAAATGCAATTCACCTGCAACAGTTGTTGTTGTTGTTGTTGTTTGAAGTCTCTAACAGCCAGATGGGCTTATAAAACATTTACCTCAGCCAACAAATCTAAGAACTTAAGCCATGGCAAGCCTAAACCGAAAGTTTTAAATGATTTTTAAAATAAATTTACTAAACAATTTTATGCACACACACACATACACTCATTCACACACACACACAAATTTGAGCTAACAACGATAAATTCATAAATATTTTACAATAGTTTTGTTTTTTTTTTAGTATTTTTTTCGAATTGAATTTTCTTTTTTAGTTTCAACTTGTTAGTTTGGTTAATCTTAGTACCATTTTGAATGCCTTTTGATATGACTTGATCATTGTTATGGTATTTCGCTTTCTTCTTTTACTTTCTTATTGTTTTAATCTTTAACTTTTGGCCTTTTAATTGGCATGTTTTATGTACAGTAAAGAACTTGAGCCATGCCAATGCAAAGTAAGTACTAAATATGCTAAAATTTAACTACAGTTAGAGTTGGTTTTTTATGGTTTTTTATGTTTTTTTTGTTTAATTTTATACAATTATTAATTACAGCTACATCCTGTTTGCCAATGCGGAAGTTTGCGACTCTTGTTGTTGCCTGATTTGCCACTCACAATTCAAACATTATATCTAACCTATCCTAATAGTTAGTACCTAAGCACTGGGGGCCAAGTTAAAATAACAAAAAAATTTATATAAATAAATCTCTTTTTTAGCCAGAATGGATTTAAACTGACAGAACGTAATAATCTGTGAAAATTCTTGTTACTTTTCACAGCTTGGAAATCAAAACAATTTCAATTAAAATAAATTTAATTAAAATTCTGCTTTTTAGCCACTTGTCTCATCAGATTTTTTCTGTTCTGTTTGTTTTTGCATTCACCAGTCCGAACTATGAGTTAAACTATTTTCTTTATTTAGCGCTAATTAATTTATTACAATATTTATGTTGGCCACCCCCCACCCCGCCTGACACTCGCTTTGTATTCATTAGCGTTCTCCTTTTTTTTTTTCTAGCCAGTGTTTTCTGTAATTTAATTATAAACAAATATGCGACAACAAATCCCGCACTGATAATTGAGGAGGCTAAAAAATGAATAACCTGCTACGAACACTTATCCCATGTTTTGTGCGTGTTTTCACAATTTTTCCTTTTAGCTATTGAGTTGCGGCGCCATTGTTGTTTATTAAAAATATTAATCAGTCATTTGAATGCAATGAATTGCAATGTTTATATATAATATATATATATATATGTGTAAGTATATGCAGCTGGCTGCGTATTTGTGTCTGTCTGAATGTCTGTGTTTATGGTTATTTTGTGTTTTGCATGTTGTCCTTTCCGCCTTGTCATTTGTTGGTTTGTCCTCTCACCTCGCACTCGTTCATTATCCCCGATCCTCACAGCACCCAGCACAGTTCAGCTCAGCTCAGCTCAGCTCAGCTGACTGTTAACAGTAATGCAATAATTTATACCATTCATTTGCATTGCCTTGCTGACAGGCTAAAAAAAAAAAGAATTTGCCAACTGATTGCGCAGCGCAATTATTTGAATGCGGCATCCGCATAAATAAAGCAGCACACTTTGTTGCATCGCTCGGTGTTGAGATTTATTGTGAAATTCTTGTGCACTTATTGCAAATTAATAACCATAAATTTGGCACGCAATCGTTCCAAAAGTGGGCCATGAATTATTCAACGCATTCCCTCATTTTCACTTTGGCAATCGATTTCATTTTCAAAATTACTTTTACTTTTAACAATGCCACAACAATTTTGGGGTTTTATAAGGGATTTCCATTTGTTGTTGCATTAGAAATATAATAGTTTAGAAAAAATTCAACATAATATATATAAAGAAGTAACTTTTTATCTGCTTTTTGAAAAATAATTCAAGGAAAATGAATAAACCGAGCAAGCCCCAAAGTATGCAGCACTTATTGAGCCCCTGGCTGAGGATAAATATCGTATGACGTCTTTTTGTCTGGCACTTACAAACTAAATATCCCTATAGCTAACCCATCGGATCACCTACTTGCCATACGGATGCTGGTTGATGTCCGGCGAGTGACGCATCAGTGTGGCACTCCCGCTGCCCGGCGACAGAGTGAGGCTGCCTTCGTGGCTGCCGTTCATGCTGCTCGAGCAGGTGGCCGGAACGGATACGGTGACGGTGCCGCCATGACCACCGCCCATCATCTTTTCCGTCTCCTGGCGACTGTTGGCCATTATCCGGCGGATCGTTGGGGCGCAGGGTGTGCGTCAGAGGCGCGACTCCTGCGCGTGCTCATGTCAGACCTGTCCGTGGGCGTTCATGTGCAGGGAGTCCCCGGCGTCGTTTGGCGTGGCCGAGAGTTGGGCGGGCGGATAATACTGCAACGAGGCACAATTCAGATACTGTGCGTGGATTAGAATCAATGTCCGGATACACATTTGCAAGTGCGTTATAAATAGGAAGAACTTCTACCATTTAGTATTCAGGAATTAGCATTTACACTGAGAAAAAAGTTAACTAAAATTGGTAATAAAATGTGAAATAGAAAAGAATGAAAAGAAAAGGATACTACTCATAATAATCTTAATGATAAAACCCCTAAAGGGTAATGAAATTATAATTTAAAATGAAAAATTTGCATATTTTTTCTCTAAGTGCAACTTACCCCAACGCGTCCATTGTCATAATCGCGACTCGCTTGAATGGTCAATTTCGCCTTGGCGTGCATGGTGTCCGTGAGGGTGTTCCTTTGATGTGACGACGGCATCACGCCGGGCACAGCACTCGAAGGTCCCAGCATCATGGAGCCATTGGCTTTGCCCAGACTACCGCTGCCCACACTGCCCATACCCAGTCCCATTCCCATGCCGGAACCGCTGGACGCGGAGCGTGAATCCTTGCTACGGAAGCAGTACTCCAGGATGGCCACGAACACACTGACTAACAGGCCGCCAATCAGTATGTAGAATATCCCAGCCACATTGCTCAGCGATAGCTCACTGTGCGAGGTCTCCCCATCCTTGTGAGTGCTGCACTCTGCCTTTTCGTACCACCATTTGTTGCGCAACTTGATCAGCTCGCCGTTCTCCTTTAGCGTCAGCACGGCCAGATTGATGGGGTCCCTGTTGAATGGGGAATGGGAATGGAGGTTCCTTTGTTAAGTATGTGGGTTAGCTTTCATCTCGGGCTCGCAACTCCCCAGCCTCTCACCCTTAAAGGCATCCATTTCTGGCTACCCCAATGGCATCCAGATTCCGGGAATACACTTAAAACAATGGCTTTCAGATTTTTCAGTTTACCCATTAAAAGATTCTCTGAATTTTTCTTTTTTTTGATAACCAAACTAAATCCCTGACTTAAGATTTCCCAAACATTTTCTCACAGTGTACTCACTTGAGCGCCGAACCGAGCGGCGTGGCGATGCCAAATCCCTTTGTATCCAGATTGCGGCCCACTTTCATTGTGTCACATGGCTCGCGGGCGTTCACATACTCATTTTTGGGTGACTCCACCAGCAGGGCGTACTTGCCCTTGGAGTTGCGCACGCGTTTGATCCCCTCGTCGTAGGTAGGTACGAAGACGTGCTTGCGCGAGTTCATGTACTCCCACATCTTGTTGTGGAGTCCGATTTGGGAGCGCTGCGGGCACAAAAGGCGAAACGAAAAATATTAAGTACGGACTACGGGACTAAGGAATACGGCTAAACGCCGTATACGCCTTGGCATCTCGGGACAGTCGAATGCAGGCGTTTAGGGACACCATTCGTTTTGCCCAGACATCCATCAGCATAATGCCGAGGTCGTGTTCCTAGTCGCCTACCAACTGCTGTCGAGCTATATACATACTTATATACCAAATATATATATATTATATATATAGAAATATCTGCTCACATGGTGAGGCAGCAGAGCGTAAGTGTGCTTAAAAGCATCTCAAATAAATGTAGCCATAAGAAATAGAATTGCGTCCCATTTCTTTTGCATTTTTGGCCCGATTGACGGCCGGAGAAATGGAATGTGGATTGCTGAATGGAGGGACGGACAGATGGATGGATGGATGGATGTATGAACGAATGGAGTGAGCAGCAAGGATGGGCGGCAAATTGCTTTTTATTCCTCGTCTAACACAAATTAATCCTTAGCCCGGCTGGGGCCCTCTCAATTTTGACGTCTCAAAAGGCTCAGCTCACAAATTCTAATGGTTTTCTAGCTCTTGACTGTTGGCTTTTATTGTCTTTGATTTGGCCATTGTGCGGTTGTCAAATGAGTGTGACATGAGCACCCCAAATTAATTTGGCTGCTAGGCAATTTGCTAGTTGGCAAGTCACTGAGGAGAATGTCTGACAGGAAGGTTCATAGGTATGCAGGGAAAAAAGTTGGGAAGGAAAATAAAGGACATTTCTTAGCATTCAGTATTAAAGATATTCTGAGTGATACAAAGATATATATCCATGTTCATCCATTCAGATTTTATCAATTAATTTCCCTCAGTGCATAGGTTCCTTGTCAATTTACTACTCACCCGGAAGAAATCCCAAGTGGAGCCGTGCAGCAGAGTTCCGTACTGCACCTCCGTTTGCATGGCCAGGTCCTCCGGCGAATTGATCGGCGTGACCATTCGCTCAACGGTAAGGAAGGCAGCCAGGTTGGCCGTGTACGAGGAGATGAGTATCAGGGTGAAGAAGAACCATGAGGCGGCTGCAATTCGTCCGGACACGGACCTCGGTGACAGATCGCATCCCTGCTGCATAAAAGCGGCCAGCGAGAACCAAAAGGAGTTCCACACGCTGAACTCATTCACTGCCGTCGACGAGGAGCCCCCAGAACCGGGACTTCCGGCGGAGAGGGCTGCCTGCAGGGCTGCAGCTCCGGCTGCCGTCTGAGCGCCAGGAGTGGGCGGCCCGGGTGGAGCGGGCAAGGGTGCACCACCGATGATGCCGGGCGGCTGCTGATTGGCAAGCTGTTCGTGATGTGCATGCGGATCTGAAAAGGGGAATCAGGCGGAAATGGGGCGGTGGCAGAGCCCTGTTAGTTGACCGCAAAACGTAACCGCAGACGGCAAACGCAGTCTGCTAATGTACAGTAAGAAAAAGTGGCTTAGTTCTGGGCTAGGTAACCCAAAGATCAGCTATTTTGGGGTTCTAAACTAGAAACTGGATGAGAATAACTTGCTGAATAGGTAGAGAAATTAAAAAGGTAAACTTTTCTTTGTCAATTCCCCTATTAAAACCTTTTCAGAAAATCATAATTTCCCAGCCCAAATCCTGTTACTTCGTTCAGTGTGGAGAGCGAGTGAGCTGCTAGTACGTGCCCATGTCGACTGTCCAAGTTTCAATCATTTCGTTTGGCTTGGCTTTTTGCGCCTGCTCTAATTGATATGCAATCAAACCCATAGCCAAGTCTCTGTTCCCCATTTGCTTCAATTGCAAAGCCATTGACTGCCAGCCGGAGATGTGATGACATCGCTGCTCCTGCCCTTTCTTTCTTTCTTTCTATTTTCGAGAAATTCCTGCTTGTGATGCTGATGTGGAGACTGATTCTACTGCCAGGATGGCGTGTCCTTTTCGTGCTCTTGCACTCTCTGCCAGGTTTTATTTTGCACTCGGCATTCGGCACTCACTATGGCACTGGGTCTCTCTCTCTGTTTATCTATCTTCGTTTTTACACTGTCTGTAAACGCTGCCTGCATACAAAATGTTGTTTACTTTCCGCTAAAATTACATTAAGGATGTTTTGCAGGATGTCAATAGATTGTTATGAACAGCCACTCCAACAGCCCTGGTTGGCCCTCCTTGCTCCTCCTACTCCTCCTCCTCTTACTAACTGAAAGTTCATGCATACACATATGTGAGACTGCCTCTCGCTCCGATTGTCAACACTGAATTCCTACAAAAAACAGCAGCGCCAGTGGCAAATTGAATTGAAATAATTGAATTTCCATGAAATCAAATGAAATCGAATGCAAAACAAGTCAAAAGTTGTAGCAGATGCATACAATTACGAGATTTTGGGTCTTCCGCCTGGCATCCCCTTTCCTTTTCCTTTTTTTTTTTTGGCCATATCTCGTTAGGCTGCACTTGACAAAAAACTGAGTACTTTAATGGAAAAACGTAACTTCAGTAAATTGGATGAGAACAAAAAACATTCGTAAATGTGCAGAAACTATCTATCAGAAAAACATTGACGTGAGTGAAAAGTTATAATGGATTCTGAAAACAAGTTAACTTTTAAAAACTAGCTGAGTTTATTAAAACTGACAAAAATGGTATAAATCCTAGGACAATGTAAGCAAAGAGGCTACAAAATGAAGTCAAAAATGACAAAGGTACTGTAAACATCCTTAAAATATTTCCCCTAAACTTAGTTATCGCCTTTCCTAAGATCTCGAAAATAACTTTACATAGCACTTAAAGTTAATCTAACATTCAATATTATAAGAAAACTGCATTTAAGCTTAATAGATTCCCCCCTCCTTTAAGACTAAAAACAATTAGAAATCTCCCAGGCTAATGCTAATTTTCCCCCATGAAAACATTTTTGTTCCTATTCCATCCTGAACTTTTCTTAAGCGCGCAATTTAATTCAATATTCAAATACCCAAGCTGCTGTTCCTACAAAAGAATACGAAAAATGGGAGAGAAAAAAGAACAGGTGTGGTACTTACCTTGCGACTGTGATTGCTGCGGCGGCTGTTGCACGAGGCGCCATTCATGTGGCGAGAAGCGAGACACAAAGAACAGCACGATGCTCACGCCGATGTAACTGAAGATGACGCTCACCTGTTGGCAGGTGGACAAAAAAAAAAAAAAAAGGAAAGAAGGGAGAAGAAAATGTTGGTTGGAGGGATGGTAAGTAAACATGAGACGCTCGTGACACGGAACATGGGGAGGCTGGCACCTGTGCAAGCAGCCACGCGAATTTGCTGGCTGCTGCTGTTGCTGCTGTTGCTGCTGCTGCTTTTTTTCATTAAATTTTCTTAACTAATTGAAGCGGAAGCGGCCGGGGCTTCCTAGAAAATAACGAAACATTAACCTAATGGAGCGGTGGGTGCGGGGTGCCAAGGGGCTCGAAGGGGCAAGAGCAAGACAATGGCACCCAAGGACATCGACAGGAGCAGCCAACTCTGCTATCGGCTGTCTGGCAACAGTTGGTGTTGCAGGTGATGCAGAGAGGAAAAAGAGAAGCTTATAATAAAGATTACTCCTTTTAGAAAAAAGAGTTTTCTTTCTAAGAATAAGTTCTCTTTTCTCTCAGTGTACAGCTTCCTAGTGTCTGAGTGTGTGTGTGTGTGTGTGTGTCGGAGCTGTCAGCACCTGAATGGCTGCCATGGCAAGCGCCTTTGTGCGGAAGGAAAGGTGTGTCCTTGTCGTTTGTCGCCGCCGCCGCTTTCATATGCCTGAATGGCTTCACCACACACACACATCTACACTCACTCTCACACTCTCCTAAGTAGGATTGTGCTGCTTTTCAGATTGCTTATGTGTGTGTGTGTGTGTGCCTGTATGTGTGCAGCTAAAATGCTTCATTTAATTTATGATAAATTTTTTTGTAAAAGACTTTTTTATTAGCTTGTTAACTTTGCGCCTTGGCTTTGGCCTTTCCCCTTTGCCCCCCGCGCATTTTCACTGCCATCCTCGAAGACCGGTTAGTCCCGACCCCTGGAAACTAATTTGCATTTGTAATTTTTTTTTTTTTTTTGTGTCCTTTCCTTCTAGCTCATGTCAAATTACGCATTAGCTTTCACTTTGGCGCTCTGTTTCGCCGACTTTTATTAGCATTTAATTTTGCGTTTGTCGCGCTGTCAACACTCTTTGACTTTCGAGATTCGGATTTGGGCCGTGACTCTGTGTGTGTGTGTGCCCCTTTTTTTTTTATGAATTTTTTATTGTGCGTAAATTTAACAGCCTCTGTCGTCATAATTTTGCGCATTTACAGCGCATTAGTGCCAGTGGCTGGAGATACCCATCTAATTTGTTTAATTGTCTACCCGGTTATCCATCCCCCTAGCCTTGCCCCAGTATCATCCTCATCATCAGCAGTTGTAGTTGAAGAAGGGCGGGCGTTCGGGTGCAACATAAACATCAACTAAACGCTCATACAAATTTGATGGCTTGCCATTATTTAAACAAGCCTCGAGCGCAAAACTTCGGACCAGAGACTAGCGTTAAATTTAAAACTTGACGGCCACGTAATTTCGGGAAAAACTCTCACGGCCAATAGGATGTTGTTGCTGTTGCTACTACTGCTACTGCTACTGCTGTTTATGCGAGTAATGTTAAAAAAGGCAAACAGTGGCAAAAGCACAAAAAACTTTGTCGTTTACTCTATTAAACTTTGGGAGCTTACGTGGTGCCAAGTTAGAGCCGAAACCAGAAGAAATAAATATACAAGTCGAAACTTTGCCGCAAACTTTTGCCCGAGCAGCCTTCCGAGGAAATGCGAAAAAAAAGCAGCGCCGCAGAAAATAATGAAAATAGGGGGAAAAAAATAAACAACAAAAAAATTGGCAAGCGTAAAAATTACCAGGCAACAGCGTCGGCGTCGGCGGCGAAACAGAAACAGAAATGAAGAAATTGTTTAAAAAACTTTACTCATTTGTATGCAGCGCAATTTTAGCAACATTTTGACTCGTTACCAAAGTGAAAATAAACACATTGCCGCTCTTTGTGTGTGTTTAGTCGGCCAAAAGTCTAAGACAGTTTACTTTTCCCTTCCGACGGGAAATAATTAGAAATTTGGTGGCAATGCCAAAGTGCCGAAGTGCCAAGTACCAAGCAATATCAATAGTCTCGACTAAGTCACAACTCCTGGACAATCCACTATCAGTTGAGTGTCGAGTAAGACTGGTTGGAAAATCCTTAGCAGTACCAGCATTTCGAGTTGCAACGCTTCGATGAGCGCCAATGAAGCAAAGTGCAAGCAGCCAAAGGAAAAGGGGATAGGGAAATGGGGATTTAGGGGGAAACTCGGGAAACTCGGGAAACTCCACAGCATATACGCACCCAAATTTCCTGTGATAAAGGATTCATGAAGCTGAACACGCCGGGCGTCTGCTTCACTGGCTTCTTAATCATGATGGAGATGCCCAGCGACATGAACGGCTTGCTAAAGTCGATGACACGTTCGCGTTCAGCGGTAATCGTCATGGCGGCAATCGCAATATCCGCTTCCTGCAAGCGAAGGAGTTCATTTGTAGGTGGGACAGGTCGATGGGTATGGTAAAAGAGGGAAAGGACTAAGTGCAACTCCGAATGGTGGAACTTACCTTGCGCACCAGCTCCCCAACCATGCCATCCCAGCCTCCGTGGGCATTGGATTTCTCCGAGCCGTAATTGCCATCCTTGACCAGGCGCAACTCATCTGCAATTGGTACACAGCGAGAAATGGAGAGTATTATATTTTAAATGACAAAAATATATAAAAAAAAGAAATACATTTTCTAGAATCTTTCGAATTTTTATAAATATTTTCTATCAGGGATTTCCGTTCATCTTAATAAAAAAAAAACAAAATAAAGGACTTTTCTTAAGTGCACTGTAACGGATATCGTAAGCTTCGTACTCTCACGGCCGATTAAGCAGGGCATCACGCATTCACTTACAGTTAATGCCCAGTTCCTTGGCCAGCAGATCGGCCAGGTCCTTGCAGTAACCCTCGAAGCGTTCGTTGCCGTGCAGCTTCTCGCCAAAGGCCACCTTTCTCAGCATGATGTAGGGCTCCTCCAGGACGGTGGTCACTATATAGGTACGATTCTTCTCGAACTCCACATGCGGACGCAAACGTACGTATTTGGCATTTAGGGGCTGCAGACCGGCATCATCATTCCACTCGGCTACCTTGACCTGAGTTGTCAGAAAAGAAGAAGAAGAAGTCCCGAAAGATTATAAATTACTGAGCTGGCCAGGCCATAAATAATCCAGCCATCGACACCTTGCTAACCACGAGGGAACAAAATCAGATCGATATTTGCCTAACTTTGAATTATTTTCTATTTCTGAATTGGAAGAGTTTGTTGTTTATTTGGAAATTATATTTAATTTGATGTAAAATGCTGTTAGAAATATTTTTTAAAAATAATTAAGGTAATAAAGTCAGCAAGTTATGAATAAAATCAAATAAATTTGGAAAATTTTAAACAAAAAATCAGTCTATGTTTTGCTTCTCTAAAGTAAGCCCAGTGAACATGACTGCCCAGATGTGGAACACTAAAACTAAGCTTTAACTTTTTTCTCTGACTAGCTTAACGTCGTGCGGACCATTACACACAGAGCCCCCGAAAACAACACTAGACAACAAAGCACATACCATGGCGCTGTTTACTGTCATCTCGACGACGTGCAGCGTGTAATTGACGCGTCTGCCGTCATCGTTGAATTTGATGTCCCCGGTTAGGCCCTCGATTTCCACCTGCAAAGGCAAAGATAGAGAGATATAGTACAGAGAGTGGGCCGTTGAAACAGGGGAACATAGATGGTTGTGGGGTTGGTTGGTTGTGTATGTGCTTAATTGCTTTGTCAGTTTGCCCGGCTGGCAGGTGTATCGATGTCGATGATGTTGGTACATTGTACATTGTGTCCACATCATCGTCGCGTACATGAATGGATCTAACTCACCTTTCTCAAATAACGCGATATTTTATCGCCATGCTCCCAGGCATTCACCCAACCCTTTGCCGTATTGCAGTCCAGTGCTCGCGAGGATATGCCACTGGATCCGCCGGAATCGCTGCCGGCAAATCCACTACCCGCACCACCATTTCCACCACCGCTGGCATTGTAGTTGTAGCCATCACTGGACGTCGAGGCAGCCGCTTGGGCCACCATCAGCGTCTGACTGCGACGCTGAACATTGTTCCGGAACTGGTCGGGCTTCTTGCGCAGGATTTTGTTGAACGCCTCCACCAGGACGAACACCGCATCGTACATGAGCGCTGCCTGGGCCTGGGTTTTTGAGGAAGAAGAAAAATGAAAGTTTTTATTAAATAATATTTTGGGTTAAGAACTTTCTTCTTTAAATTATCATTTTTTAAGGTAAAGACTAGAAGTTCATAGCCATAAACCATGCCCAAAAGCATTGATTAGGGAGTAATCCTGGAAAATGGTGGATGATGATGATGATAGTCAATAAAGCCCCCCCGTGGATTCGGCACTGTGATGAGGTGGTTTTTCTGCTGGCATTTAATGAGTGCATTACACGCTGTTATTCACAATTTTGCCAGCCATTGCCCTCTGGGGCATGGCTATCTCTTGCCTTATTTAACCCGCCAGAGCAGGTGTTGGGCGTTGAGGGGTTAAGCTAGCCCAAGGCCCCCATGGGGAGTTGATCCACGAAACGTGTCGCACATTAGATAGCACAAAAGAGAGAGCAAAACTTTGATTTAATATTTAACCGCTGGTCTGGGCGCGAGTCCTTAAACTGGCCTACTGGGCAGGCAGTTAAGCAAACACGGAATGACCGAAAGAGAATGCCACACAAAGACTTTAATGTGAATTTCCCCCCAGAATACACACACACACACACATACACACACGCAAGTCAAATAAACAAACAAGCGATGCCAAAGAGAGCAGCGGTCCAGAAGCTGGACCGGAATAGGACCAAATAGAAAGGACAGCGGAGCATACGAGAACCAGAATAGAAGCGGACCGGAGAGAACTGTCCTGCAGCTGAATTCAACTAACATTTAAGCGCCACAAAGTGAAATCTTTGTCAACAAGGATAATGCCAAGGAAATACAAATATAAACAGCCAGCCAGCGCAAACTAAACCAACTTGCTGCTTTCGCAAGGCTATCTTTTCTGCACTAAACGAAAAAGGGTTTAACTTTGCTGTACTTTAACATTTATTGTTGTCTGAAAATATTTTATAAAAATGAAATTTCAGTGCTTTGCTTTTCCTAATTCTGTTTAAATAAATATATTTATTGTTATTTAAGCTTTGGTAGTCTTGTTAATTTACTACTCTTTTTCTCTGAAGTGCACATGTCTAGGCATGTCTAGGTCCCCGGCAGCATTTACAAGGACAACGGAGCGGCAGCGACAAGGACACATGTGCCTTTGACTGCAAGTTGTGCGATAGCTATCTGTCTCCTGGTCGCTTAGTAAAAGTGAAATCTGGAATCTGTCGACGGAATGCGAATACTACAGTGAATACTATACGACCAGAGTATTTGACTACACGCAACAACACAAACAAAAGGCACAAACACAACTGCAAACACAGAACGAGCGTTGAGTAGAGCGACAAAGCGCCGCAAACTATGCTATACACAGTGGCCCGTGTCCTTCGTTCTCTTTTAACCAAACATTAAATCTCCGCAAATATTTAACTGCCAAACTAGTGTCCTGGCCTCGTTTGGTAGCAGCATCAGCATCAGCTCGTTTGGCTACTACTCACCGAAATCGATTCACGGCCAGCGCCCACACTCATCTGGGGGTCCAAACGCTTCCAGCTGTCGTAGAATTCGCGGACCAACCGCCGGTTCGTGTCCACTATGCGAAAGCCAGTGATGTTAATGGCACCAAATTCGATTATCTCGCTCTCCCAGCGATCGTCCATGACCTGCAAATGCAAGACAATGGAATTGAAATTGGTTTTGCTAAAGATACAGTGGGAGAAATCGATTTTGTCTTTGGTCAAGGATGTTCTGGTTATCAATTTTAAAATGAAAATCAATAGTTTTCGAACAAAAGAAGTTTCTTGAGTGAATATTTTCTTCATATTTTCCATATTATTAATAATAATGATTATTATTTCTTATTTCTTCCACTCTTTCCAGATTAATGCCAGCTTATTGGTTTCGTGGTCTCATTTCTGTCCTGATTTTTGGGGCTGTGCTTTGCGGGTGAGAACAACACTTACCAAACCACTCAGCAAATAATGGTAGGTGCGTCGGCCCAGTCGTAAATCGCGCACATGCTGGATGAGTATTTGTTTGGCCATTTCCGTGGGGCAGTCCAAAACGATGTGCTTGTTCTCGAAACGGCCGATCTGCTCCAACGTATGCAGGAACTCGATGGCCATGCTGACATTGGAGATGCGCTTGACCAGCTCCACTTGAAAGGACTCATTGCCGGGACGCAGACCCTGGTATATTTGCTGGAGGCGCAACAGACCTGCGGAATATCAAGTGTGATCCTGTTAATTAACTGAGTTTTGGGGGTACAACAAATTTACACACATTCCATGTGCCATCCGGACATGTGTATGCTCAAAGATTCAGATACGGATGCAGATACATACATACATATGTAGATGCATTAGCTGGGGCACACAAATTACAGCCATCAACAGTTTTGCGAGTCGTTAGCCATTGCAAAAGGAATAAGCCCCGGGCCCTTGGGCTTCTGGGTCCTCAATCCCCAGTCCCTCAGTCCAACAAGACGAGCATTTGCAACTCGCCCAGGAAGCTCAGGGCGTTGGAAGGGGTCAGACAAGGGGTTACATTCATCCACCCGACGAGAAGTTCTCAGTATTATTGACACCGAAATCTGCTTATGTCTGAATTGAGTTAAATTTGGAAATAAGGGGATTATGTTTTTGGAACCTTGGCTAATCAGCTGATGGTGTTAGCCGAGCTGATCTCGATTTTCTTGAGAATTGTGGCTTCATCGATGTTTTCAATGAAAGCTTCTTAATAAAAAATATCATAAATTCGATTCTTTAATCAATTAGTACTGCGATTTTTATGTTTCCCATTGACTTCTTCTCTACAATTCCTCTCATTTTTAAGTACTTTCCTTCTTAAATTCAAAATGTTGGTTCCATTTTCGTTTTAAATCCTTTTAAATCTGCCTACACAACGCTCCAGTTTTCTTTGTCGTCTGCGCCTTGACATTTGCTTTGTCTAAAAATAGGCCACACACACACACGCCTGCCTCGCATTTAGCCCACCCCCCTGCTCCGGACAAACAAAAGCCAAAGGAGCAAAATCAGTTTCAATTTGAAATTTACCGAAAACGGATACAAGGATGCGTACATGCCACTGCGTATCTAGCAGATACACCATTGGATGGGCCAACTAGAATTTAGGGCAACAGCGGCATGTTGGCAATGCCAGGGCTCCGGGGCAAGGCCAAGTTTTTGGACCACTTGCCAGGGTCCGTCGTTATCCGTTTTAGGGTGTGGGCTCCGTATTCTGGCATGATACTGGGCCTACTGTGTTAGCACGATATGGCAACGAGAGAGAATCCTCTGCCGGCGCAATTTGCATTTGTGCTTATTGAGTTATGGCTGCAACTAACTGCTTTCATTCGCACTTAAACCGAGCACTGAGCACTGAGCTGGGCACCAAGCACAGCTCGTCGCTTCCATCTTTCGCCTCCTCCTACTCCCGCAGGACTTGCCTGAAAACTTTACGAGTCAAAACTCAATGATTCAATGCGCCTGGGATGGTAGCAAAGGGAACAGAGCAAGGGAGGGAGATGGAATTCGTACAAACAGATAGCCCGAGAGACAGACGGACAGATGATTTGTATTACAGCTACGCAGCAAACAAAGAAAGGCGAACGGAAAAATGTGAAGGAGCTGTGGGAAACCAAGGAGAAGCCAGCAAGGATGTCGGGAATGAAAGAAATCTGGATCTCTACCACTGGCTCTCTCGGTGGATGTCGCATGAGACATGGCGGTGCAACTTCAATGCGCCTTCAATTTATGTTTGCGGATAAAATGGGATTTGCTTTTTGCTTCTGGCTTCTGCTGGATTTTGATTTAGACATTCGTTGTTGTTGTTGTTGTTGTTGTATGTACTGCTGTAACTGGTTGCCACGCCCACAGCTACGCACGGGCGGAGCGTACTCAATACTTTTCCAATTTGTTGTTGCTTTGATTTGCACTATGTTCGGAGGTAGGGGAGGTAGATATATTTTACGAACTTGTAGGGTATCAAGGGGTAGTTAGGACTCAAGCTAAAGCTAAAGCTGTTAAAGCTTAAAAAATTCAAATTATATTTCTGATAAATAAGAACTTTTGTAAAGATATTAAGAGATATAAAGAGCACTTCTCAATCGAATCAACCATTTGAATGCCTAAAAATCTTTTCTCTTTGTTCCTGCCCTATATCCCTTTGGGGTATCAAATTGTCCTGAATAATACAGATACTCCCGACTCTATATCTTCCCGAAAAGCGCGTGTCTGTGTGTGCGTGTGAGTGTCCGTGTGGATGAGTGAGCGGCCATTTTTTGTGCGCTCCGCTCGTTGTGCAATAAATTTTCTGCCTTGCCTTTTATACAATTTCATTTGCTGGCACACTTCCTCCTCCACAACCACCTCCCACTCACCCACCATTTCCATTCTCCATTTCGCTTGGCTTGTGTTTGGTTTGGATTTGATTTTTGTGCTTTTTTCGATTTGAGATTTGCCGCTCGGATTTGGGGGCGAATGGAAGAGGCGGGTGTGAGTGTGCGTGTGTGTATGAGTCGGAAAATCGAAAGTGTAATTGAAGAGCATGCTGTTGCGGCCAAGGATTTTGTTTTATTTCATTTTTGATATCAAAACATTATTGTGGCTCACCCCGGCGCATATAATTCGAGTTTCCCGAATCCCAAATTCCCGTTGCCCCGGAACCCCCCCTTTGCCCAGCGACTTTATGGCTGGAAATTGGCATCCCACACAGAGATTCCCCCAGATTCCCTAGTTCCCATCCGTTCTCATATCTGTTTTTCTTTTTTGTTTTAGCATTTCCGTTGATTTTTTTTTTATTATTTTATTTGGGGAAAACTGTGGCCAACGCTCTTTCATTTTCGGTTTAAGTAACAAATTTAATTCACAATTATATTTATTTATTTTCTGCTGCTCGGCCAAATTCAATTTGTTTTTGAGTAGCAAAAGGGGGGAAAAAAAAGTGAAATTGAATTTTGAAAAGTGCCAGGAGACGAAGATTGCAGGACTTGCCTGGCATTCAATCTGGCCACTCTTTGGCTTCTTCTCTCTTCAGTGGCTATGCAAATCTGTCAACCACACGGGCCACGCCCAACTTTCACTCGGATGCGAAAAGTAAACAAGACAATTTGTTATGTTAAACAAAAGTTAGTTTTGCGGAAATGAAGTTTTCCTGCCTTCGGTAGCGACACCAGAATCGCATAAGCAGATGCAAAGATACACACAGATACTACTACCATCAGATATCACATACGGTCGGTCAACAAGTAAAGACATTTAGCCAACATATTTTATGGAGAAAGTTGAAGGACCGTTTGAATGGCAGATAAAAAAATGTAATTACTATGGAGAAAGTTGTGGGGAGAATGTAATGGCCCTATGGCCAGGGAAACATGGCCAGCTGTTTATCCGCTTTTCATTTCCCGATTGACTGCAGATCCAAATATTCCATAATTTATGCATTAATTAGGCTACAACAGAGGGCCACGCCCCAATTTTTAGCAGCCTGTTATGGTTTTTTACTGTCCTGTTCTGTCCTATCCTAGCCTGGCCTAGCCTGGCCTGTTGTGCCATCAAAAACTTTGCCTGTTTAATTACTTACAAACTGCGGAGTCTTCGTCGCCGTCGTCGTCGTCGTCGTCTTTGGCGGCCTCGTTCAGTTAACTGGGAAAACTGGTGGAAAATTATGCTGACAAGCTCAAAGGCTTTGCGCATATGTTTTCAATGGCCTCGAAAAAAGATGGGGAAGTGGGTGTAGAAGCGGTAGCTGGCAGCATTAAAAGTATCAAATAACATGAAAGTGAAAGCGCAGTAAACCCCATAATGGTTAAATTAATGGCAGTCAGCCGGAACTGGAGGCCGCATCTCCTCTTTCTGGCCAAGGACACGCTGTTGTTGTTGTCGTTGTCGTTGTCTTAACGCAATTTGCGCTGCCATTTGACGCAGTTTATGCAAATTCTTCTCTCTGATTTAAATTATGTAACACTCTCTATGGCGGCAACAATCAGCGTTCGCTTATTATTCATGATGCCCACTCCAAGAGGAGATTCCTTTCAGATTTTTATATCCACACAAACCATTCATATCGAACGTTGAATTGGAGGATTGGAGGATACATATTTGATGGCCCCTAGCCTTTGTCTCGATGGGTTTTTTCCTGTTCGGTATTGTTATTTTTTGGGCAAAAGACAATCAAGTCTTTCATCTATAAACAAAACGATTTGCATAATTCTGCAGTTAGGGTTCAAGGGACGCATTGATTAGCCATATAGGGTTCATCCTTAATACCTCTAGTAGCGGTGTGTCTTTAATAAACAATACTGGTCAGTTGGGTGAACTGCTGACGTATTCATTGCAGGATGAGCAAGCAGATTTTCACACGTCCTTAAAAGAGCTCACGCATCAGGATTCATCTATATGCATGTGTATTTGTCTCTCGGTATTTGTATCTGTGTATCTGTGTATCTGTGACTCTTGCGTGGAATGTTTATACTTTTTTTCTCGCCTTGGCCCCCCTATAATAAATTTCATTTCACGGCAAGTCAATGTGCTGTTAACACGGCAACGTGGAGGACGTCCACGCCTACTCGGCGCTTTTTCTTCTTTATTCCCAGATTCCTTCTTCATTTTCGGCAGCTGCCAGGACACACACATGCTATATATACATATATATAGCTATACATACGTGTAAGTAAGACATTTACTTTCATTGCAGACTGTTGATTGTATGCTTTTTCATACAGAAATATCGATGGCAACGTGGCAGTCACTTGGGGGTCATGGAAAATTCGGTTCTGCTGTTTATAAAAAAGCCAACCCGCTCTTACAAACCAAAGAAGAAATTAATGATTTGGTGAGCTAAGAACAAAAAAAAAGAAAAAGAAGAAAATTCCAAAAATAAAGAAGAGATTTTTCTTAAGGATGATGGAATCTGGCTGGAAACCGGCTAGCCGAGCATCGCCACCTGTCACTCTGGCCTGTACATGTCATTTGTTCTAGTGTCTCGTACGTGCAAATACTTTGCAATTCATTGGCACTGCCTGTCTGTGGGAAATTTGCTTATACGGCTCATTTGACGTGGCTGGCGTCGATGACTGGAAGCGGGACAGCTGCTCAGAGCAGTTAGCATGTCAAGCGGATGGGGCCAAAGGCAACTCGGTTACTAGCCCCATATGGAATGAAGTTATTTCAGCTCAGTTTGTCTGCTGATTTCTTTGCCATTTCAAACGTTCGTGTGAGTGGAAAGTGATAGGATTGTATATACTTTTAGGTAGCATATGTACATGGAAGTGTTTTCTTGAAAATTGATCGAATTTTATGATGTTTTTGGTTGAAAATGATTTTTATTTGATTTGAATCTGAAATACTGTCCTGGATTGATTGGTTTTAAAAAGATAATCTTAGAGTAAACTAATTCTGATACTAAGCTTAACTAATAACCAATTAGTTCTAACAGGCAATCTACCAAACTCCTAAATTAAAGACTTAAAGGCTAAGCTTTTATGGCCTAAACTTCAACAGCGAATCTCGTGCGCGGATTTCTTTGATGACCTGTAGATGGCCCTCCTGCTTTTTTTGTCTGCAAAATCCAATAGCCGCAGGCGGCACAAGTGTTTTTTAGTGAACAATCTCACACACTCCCAAAAAACCAAACACACACACACAAACACACACACACATAGACTAAATAAATATGTATAATATAGCATAGCCTTAGGCTGACACGTATTGGAATTTTCCGGGGAGTCGACGAGCAACTGGCTAGCAAATACAATAATTTCACAGCTAAAAGGAAAATGTGTGTAAGCCAATTTCTCGGCCAAGTCGTAAATACAAGCGAGAATAAACTTATAAGCCGCTGGCCCACTTCGCATGAATTAGATCCCGGGAAAAGAGGGGCCAAAGAACCCATAACGAAATATTGTTTGTGTTTGCATCGATGGTTGTTTCTGTTGTGATTGTTCTACACGCCACTCGAAAAACCGTATCTGAAGCCGGCCATTGCCCATAAATAGTTCTTTTTTTTCGGATCATTTTGTTTTTTTTGGGGGGGGATGGGATGGCAAGGCAAGGCAAGGCGCAAAATGTTTTTCCTATTTCTTTGTAATAAACTCGTTGGCGCGTCGAATAAACAAAAGTGGAAGCCCGTCCTGGCCCCAAAAACAAAAGAGGCCGTTAAGAAGCGTAGGCGTTACGTGCCAGAAGTTGCCTTGTAAACATGGCCATAAACCAAAACGGAATATTCAAGAAAAATGAAAAACTGCCAAGCAATTTTGCCATATCCATATTCTATTAATTGGCCATATCTGCCACTCTGGCCTTAAAGTCATATGTAGGCAATCAGAATTTATTAAGCTGCTAACAAGAAGCCAGCCAAATTGATTGAGTGCCACTAAGCATTTGGCACGGCTTAAAATAGGCGATGAGAAATCCGGATGATGGAGAGAGATTAACAAACACAGACAGGCAGATAGACAGGAGATGGGAATGGGGGTCATGAACTGGCTGGAATTGATTGAGTGCTGTTGGCCACCGCAAAAGATTTTCACGTGGCATTCATTAATAATAATAATGCAAAAGCCAGACACTGGCTTCCATCCCGACATCCGCCTGAACCGTCTATCCTTTCGTTCGTCCTTCGTTGGCCACATAAACCAATTGTCCGACTGCCAATGGCGAAAAATGTCAGCGAGAAGGAGAGAGAGGGGGAACTCAATGCAGACGGCTGTGTCATTAAACTTTATTTATGCACTGGCTAAATGGAAAATGCTTGCAGAAACTTATAACAAAGCAAATTTACGCTGTGCAGTGAAAGAGGGTGGAGTGAAAGAATGGTGGCACTTTCACCCCAACTCGCTATTTCACTTGCAGAAAATTGTTTAATTGTGCTTTCTATTTCTTGGCAAATAATTTTAATCACTTGGCAAATAGTTTAGAAAAGTTTCAAGTGTTTTTTTAAATAAATTAAATTCTTTGGCCAAGAAGTTGACGAAAAATAGTTTATAAATAGAATTTTATTTCTTTGTCATGACTTTGTCTTGGCTTCTTTAAAAAACAGAAAGAAAGAAAGAACATAATTCCTTTACAAAAGTTCATAGAATATTTCCCACAGTGTTTTATATTGAGACCCTATTCCGATTACTCTAGTTAGTTTGCATAGATGAGGTTGCGAGAAAAACGGAAAAAAGCGGAAAAATGCTTATTGACTCGTTCTGCTCCTTTCGAATCCCCTTCCTCGCTTTATGAGAATATCAGCTGATGGCTGGGTATTAGTATGAATGCTGGTTGTACTCACCATCGTGGGAATCGTAGAGATAAATTATTTTGCGCCAGCCATAAAATTGTATTGTATCAATGATGGCCTGATGATAATCCGGGCGCATGCTGAGGGCAAAGTCGAGGAAGCCAGACGATGGCGTAAGCACCTAAAACGCGAAAATTATGGAAAACAGCAGCAGCAGCAGCAGAAGAAGTAGGGGTAAAAGAGATAGAGAGAAAGAGAAAGGACATGGCGAGTTAGTAAACATGAATCATTATTGAGTGCTCATTGTTGTTGGACCCGACCCTGTGTTTTGGGCTCGTTTTGGGCATTTGCCTGGTTGATTTATAGGCCGCTCGGCCTAAACGAGGCCAAAAGTGTGTTATAAATTTTTAAAGCCCACGCACACGACACAACCGTTCGTTGGTTGGTTGGGGGATGGCAGGACATCATTAGAAACAAGTGGCCAGGTTGCCGCCCATGGTTGGTCCTTGGTCCCTGGCTCACTAGTATTTATAATGATTTGTACCTGGTCGGGCGGCTCATAAATATTTGCCACTGGCCCCAGCTGTATACGAAGTGCTTTTTCGGTTGGGCTTTGGGCTTTGGGCTTTTCAAGGTTAACAATTTATATTGGTAGCCAGCAGAGCGTATGATTAATATTTCATATTTAAATAGGCTAACGACCTTGGCACTCGCTTTCGTCTCTCTTTAATATTTATTAATGTCTTAATGGGCTCACCTTCTCGGGAAACCAGGGCGTCACAAACGGCATTTGGAATGTATTCGAATACGAGTGCAGTGTATCGAAGGAATCGGGCGAAACCGCTCCCAGCATCGAGTATACGCCCCGTGAGAATTGATTACAAACTGCAGAGAAGTTGGAAAGATAAATATGAGTTATAAGAGTATATAATAAAGGAAAATTTTGTTTAAAGAAATGAAAAAAGAATCAAGTTAACTAACAATTTGAATGATTTTCCCCTCTAGATGGCTTGACAAAACTTTAATTGATAAACGGAAATGAAAGTAAAACAAAATAGGATACAAAACTTGCTTAAAATGCGCATAATTAATACATTTTCTGCGTAACGAGATCTCTGGTGATGTATTTCCATTGCTATGCCGGTCTTGCCAATATTTATGGCTTGCTAACTGCATCTCATGAATGGAATTCATGAACGAAATCAGAAATTCAATAGCTCAAATAATTATCGCCTAACGAGAGTTTCGTGTTCGTGTTTTGCCCAATAAAGTGAATTCAATTTTCAATTTTCAACCCCTGGTATACTCACTCAGTCGTGACAATTTGAAGGCATCCGCCGTGTTGATCACATCCACGTAGGCCTGCAGCTCGAATCGTCGGGATGAGACGTTCAGGTTGTGATTGAGCATCGCATACTTGAAGGCCGATTGCACTTCGTCGGTTCCCTGCTCGAAAATGGCACCTGATTTTCCAGGTGTGGCAGCAGCGACAGCAGGCGGCAGGCGGCAACATGCAAAGATGTGTAAAATTGCTGTTAGTGCTCGAGTCGGGGAAAAGTTTCGCTTTTTTGGGGTAGCTGCTCCATCGAAATTGTCAATTAAGTTCAAAGCAAAGGCACTTTAAACTTTGTAATTGCTTTTGCTCTCGAATTTTATTTGTGTTCTTGTTGTTGTTACTCTTGTAATTTTTTCTTCTCCTTTTTTTCGTTTTTGGAAGGAAAACTTTGTTGCTGCTGTTCGTGCTTTTTCTGTTGTTGTTGCTGTTGTTGTGGTGGGCAATTTGAGCCAATTTTTAAGTGGCGTTTGCAGCCAGCTAATAAGCGTGGCGTTTCAGTTTTCAAAGTGGCCAACGAAAAATTGAAGAACAACAAAAAAACAACACAAAATAGAATGAAACTGACTCTTGGCCAACTTCATTTGGCTGATGATAGCCGGCAGAGAAAAGCGTTAAACTTTATTGGCTTAAGAAGGTCGTGTTAATATTCTTAAAAATATTTGAATTTTTCTTAATTAATTTCTAAAAATAACAATATATATTTTCCTCTTAAAAACTTTTCAAAGAACACATTCTTGAATCAATAATTTTCCTCTTGATGGTTGTGGATTTGCCGAGTGTTTAGGAAATGTGGAATTTTAAGGGGGCAGCCATTTCTAGCCATTTCCTTGCCAGCTGAGGCGTGTGCAGTTGAGCGGTTATAAAATAAAAATAAGTGCCAGGACAAAACCAGGACGCGAACAGCAGTAAGGAAGGTGGTAGAAGGTGGTAGAAGGTGGAACGGCTGCAGCTCGAGTCGCTGTCAGATGCATTGGGCTTACGGTTACGGTTACTCACCTAATGGGATTTTCTCGGTTAATGATGGCTGTGCGCTGACTACCCCGTTGCCCACGCTCCTCCATGTTAGCCATAATAAAAAGCTTGGCCAAAGGCAGCTCAACTTTAAGCCAAAGCGCATTTTGCAGCCCGTTGATACTGCTGCTGATGCTGGCCTTGTTGTTGTTGTTACTCCTCTTTGTTGTTATTTGCTATATCCTTGCTATTCCTGCGGAACAGGACTTCTCCTGGTATTGTTGTTGCTGCTGCTAATTCCGCTTTTCCGCTTATTTTCTGCAGTTGTAGTTGTAGCTTGTCGTCGCTGGCATTGCAAGCATTTTGCCGCACTTAGCGCAGCATTTGCATAATTTGTGCTGCCTGCATTTATTTTTGGGTCAGCGATGAGTTATTTTGAGTTTAGAGATGGGAAAGAGGAAAGGGGGGAAGAGAGATTTAAAGTATGTTAAATATATTAGAAGATTTTCGAGAGATTTTGTGTTAGGTTGTCAGGGAAATTGCGTCCGTGTAAGTCGCTTAAATTTTCGGCTTTGTGTGCTTAATTAAACGTTGCCTGCTTATTGGGGCAAATTAGTGTGTATTTTTTAAGCCCACCCTTTTTTGAGCCACCCCCAAAGCTATTCTCTTTGGCACGCGTTGGCCTGCACGTGTCTCGGGCACCTGGAAAGCTGGCAACTACACAGGGAGAAAATGTATACTAAATATTATCCTAATTTTTAATCCATGGAATTTATAACTGAATTTCCTCATTCCAAAACTCCTTTTGTGAGTTAAAATTGTATTATTTTTCATTTTACATTTGTTTTTCCAGTTCAAAATCTTAGCTAACAGTTTCCCCGAACTTCAAGTAGACTTTTCTTGCTCTGTATCAACAGGTAAACTGGCAACTGGCACCTGGCACAATGGCAGTCGACTTGGCAACTGTCGCGTTCCATTCACTTTCCGCTGAGGCTCGCATTTGTGCGAGTGTGTGTGTGTGGGTGCGAGTGTGTGTGCTCAGTGAACTGTATGCAAATATGTACACCTGGTCTATATGCATGTGTGTGTGTGTGTGTGTGCGGTGTGTGGAGGTGTGTGCGACTCCTCTTGCTGTTGTGCTTGTGCGTTGTCAGTGTGTCACTGTGCCAGCAGCTTGTGCAGTTATTGTTGCTTCTGCCACACCACGTCTCCCACCTATCACCCCTTTAGCCACGCCTCTGTTCACCTGACACACCGCCTCGCCCCGGCCCGCCCTTTACGCCCACCTTTGGCGCATATCCCCCAGTCGTTATCCTTTCGGTTCGCTGAATGTTTTTGTGCTGATTTTGCGCTTATTTTAAATGTCTTTTATGCATGTTGTTTTTTGTTCGCCGCCCCCCTTTGCTGCTTTATTTTTGTTTACGTTTTTGTTTTATGCCTTTTATTGTTAATTATTTAAAATTGCAGAGCTCAGGCTGACTGAGTGACTGGCCGCTTGGCTGTGTGACTCTGCCTGTCGGAGGTCTCTGGGTGTGTGCGTCCCCTCCCCCCTCTGTTTTTCATATCCCTTCGTTGATTTTTCCCTTGATTTCTTTTTTTTTCCCCTCCTTCCACCCACATTCGAGCCACGCTTATTGGAATTTTATTTTCGGATCGCCGTTTTATATGAACGTGAAACGTTTTCCTCTTTTTTTTTTGCTCCTTTTTACATTTGCATTCCCCTCGGCTTTAATAATGGTTTAATTTTTGAAATTGTTTTTAAATCGGCTTATTTGAGGTATGCCGCACACACAGCTGGCCAGCATTTGTGTGTGCGAGTTGCGTTTCTGTTAAGTCTGGAACATTTTGTTGGGTCCATGCACACTTTTCAAGGATAAATATTCATAGCTTGGGCATTGCTTATCTGATTTTTTGCAGGGGGTAAATCGATTTAAGTTACGTTTTACTATTTCTGTAAACATTTTACATAACTGATGTATGCACAGATTTCATCTTTACAAGGAGATAGTGAAAAACTTATGCAGAGTAAGGGAAATATTATTATTCTTAAGGTTTTTGTAAAATAAATATATTTTTTCTGTATTTCTTTGAGTAACTCTGAAAGCTTTCCCTCTTAACTTAACTCTTAGTTTAAGCATTTTCTCTAATTAATATCAAAACAAAAACTAGCTGGGCTAACTAACTGTAACTCTAAATCATGCTAATCTCTTAGTATCTAAAGCAGAAAGGTAATAGAAAGTCCCAAAGCAAAGTTCATTTCCCCGTACTTGAAATACTCCCTTCCTTTGAAGTTTGTTTTGCTGCTTAACCACTCTTTAATCATATCAGTTACTGTAACTAATCCCCGGGGCTGGGGGGGCGGCAGGAAAATGAGAACCCTTTCTCTGTGACTGAGCCCATTCATTCATTAGGCAAACATTGACCGAAGCAATCTACATAAAACCACTTGAGTGAAAAGTTGCAGTCTGTTCAGTGTCTATTTTAGCTGGGCCCATAAAAAACAGAAATAGATAGAGAGAGAGAGTCCAGCTTTGAGTTGGAGTCTGGGAGTCAGAAGGGGATAAATGGACCGGCGACATCGCTGCTAGAACGGGCTGGCTCATCGCGAACGGGATTATTTAGCGCATTTAGAAAATAGGTTAACAGACGCTTAATATTCATATAGCCATGGGCCTGGGGGCCACTGGCTCCACTCGGAACTTTATTCGTTATAATGACGGTTGGCAAAAAACTAACGCAAAGTGCGACGAGAGGCTGCGACTCGGCCAGTTTCCATTAAACGAATGATCCCACTTAATTAAATTTAAATTAGGAGAGCCTAAAGTTGAACGTCACGGACGTTTAAGTGGCACTGAGTTGAGAGAGACTTGGCTTTAGAAGGGACCAGGCTGAACACAACCAAAAAGGCGACCGAACACACACAGGCAGGTCCAGATAAGTGAAACGAATGAATGGACATTTAGGGCCAGAGGACCTGAAGACCTGAAGAGCTAAAAAGCTGCATTGCTGTCCTGCGGAGGCACTTCCGTTAATTAAATAATTATTTTGTAGCCACTTGCTGATTACTTTTAGCCCAACTCTCGCCTCTATTCATTCGCAACTTAACACGTTGCTCGGGCTGGAGATGTTTTGGGATGTACTGAGATACACCGGCACTGACCTTTGTAAGTGGCCTCAGTAATTTACAGCCAACAGCGAGAGATGATAGGCATCGCAGAGTGAGTTTGGGACCTTCAAAAAATTTGCCTTTCAAAAACAAGCTTCCTTTTTGCCTTGTCGGCACGTGCCAACCGTGGATGGGAAAAACAAAAACGCGATGGCAGGTATTTAGCGAATCCGGCAAAGATAAAAATGTAACAGGAAAATTATTAGGCCGCAGATAAAATCCATAATATAAGGCAGCTCATTTGCATTTCAATGAGGTGATTAGTATGCCAATGTCATGCCGAGAAAGCAAGGTAACCCATACCCAATTATTGGGTATATCTGAATTTTCAATTTGCTATCATTTCTAATTTATACATACGACGGCACTTGATTATATTTGCCTTGCCAAAAATATATCTTTATCATCTATATTTGCTTTTATATTTGCCATAAATTATATCATTATGACTCTCTTTTTTCTTGTTTGCCTTGTAATTAGCTTAAGTCCCACAAAGATTTGAAGAACTCGTGGCAATCAATGGCAAAGTGCCCCGATAATTGATAATTTATTTTCCTGCCCCTGAGGCTGACAACTTCCTATGCCAACGAAAGCCAAAGTCACAAATAATGAGCACAAATTCCGCTGTTTATATTAATGCTCGTCAATACGTAAAGGTCGTGGATCTCAAGGAGTCACTAAGTCATTCCCTTAGTCAGTTAGTCAGTAAGGCAGTCAGTCAGTCAGTCAGTCAGTCAGTCAGTCAACCAGTCAATGGGGCCACGACAAATTTGGCAACTTACAAAAAAGAGGGCCGAGCATTTGTCGCTGTTCATTTGCGGCTTACAATTCCTTCCAGTCCTTGAGATTTATTTTCCTTTTTTTTTCCTCTGCTTTGCTTGTAAGTTGTTTGGTCACACACAGCACACTTAAATTTGCGGCTTTTCTTGCTTAGCTTTTCCTTTTTTCCCTCTTTCCCTTTTTTTTTTTGAGGGGCGAAACTTGAGGAATATTTGGGAATTGGCTCTTAAGCGACTTTTACATTTGCATAAGCTGGCACACAATTTTAAAAATGATTGCCGCTACTTTATTATCACTTAATGCGCGCGACTTCGTTTTTTTTCTTAGCTTTTTTTTTGCCCTGCGGTTTCTTTTATCACTCGACTCGATTTCGGTTTTTTTGGACCCGATCTGCTCTAGAGTTCGTTGATGTTCCGATTTTCCGATTTTCCGATTTCCCTAGACCGCTAGAGAGCCAGCATCCTTATGACTATCCGCCGTAATCGTCCTGTTTGACGCGCGCACGATTGAGTACTGAGTTGGATGCTGAGCAGGTGTGGTTGCGTTTCAAAATCCGGCAAAGCGACAAAGCTACAAAAATCTGGCTCTCTCTCGTGGTAAGTCGGAAAACTCGGAGGCTGTGTGCGCTCAATGTACTAAAAAGGGCGGCTCGCAGAGAGATTTTCCGGCCTCGGAGAATGAGCGCACACGCATTCGTCTGCAAAGTGGCCGAAAGGCGAGAGAATCCTGCCTGCAGACGCGTGTTTCTGGCAGTGTTACTGACCTAGTAACCGTTTTCTTTTTTTTGCCTTTCAAGTTTACTCTTTGCCAGAACAACAACAACAAGAGAAGCAATAACAACTAGAGTACATCTTGTCGTTCTCTGGTCGGTTGCCCTTTTTATTGCCCGCTCGTGAGTGCAGCACAATCTGCAATTGTTGCTGTTGCTGTTGCTATTGCTGTTGGCATTTGGTTAGTTGTTAAGCCAAATCCGAGTGTTACCCGGAATCCATAACAAGAACTGAGAAACCGAAATCAATTAAAGCGCTTTAAGTAAACCTTCGGCAATGGCCAAAAGATTTATTGGCAGAAGAGAAACTTATTTACAAGCGTTTGGATAACTTTGAAAGGTTTAAACCGAAAAGTGCTTAAGAGTTTATAGATGAAATTTATACATTTTTAACGAGTTCGTAGACTTTTACTAATATTTTATAGATTACTGTTGCTTTCTTCTTTTTATACAAAATTATTCTTCATAAGTGAAAATATAAAAAATGAGTCCAAAACTAAAAACCACTAAGGCCGGTAGAGTTAACAAGCTTCCTGCATTGGCGACTATCTTGCCCTGAACCCACTGCACATTGCTATAGACATCGGTGTATATGGATGGCAGGTGGTTGGTCTCACATGCCACTGTAGCAGCCACCACACCGTAGACGATATTGTTGCTGATCAATGGAGATCCCAAGTCACCGGCACAAGGCTGTTGCGGTGATGTAGGGGGATTGCCTATGGCGCAGAGTACCGAAAGTTGTGGTACATCCAACCATTTCTTACACTTCTCACGTGATATAATCTCCACGTTTATGTAAAGCATGTGCGAAGCAAGCGGTCCACCCTAAAATATGGTTAACTATCAAGGTTAGTTTATCGATTATCTTACTTACATGATACATTTGTCCCCAACCCAAAACGTTGCATAGAAGACCATCTAGCGGTGGTCTGGTGGGCAATTGAGCTATGGCGATATGACTGGTCCTTGGAAAGGGCCGCGATAGTTTTAATAGTCCAACAGCCTCCTTATTATCCATTGTAAAACTATCTGGCAACATTGTACGGCTAACGGGAGATATGAAAGTTTCGCCATGGATATATTTTAACCTATTGTAAGTTCCACCAATCACGACCAGCACTCCGCTGTAATACTTAACCCTTCGATTGCTAAAAAATGGAATAAAAATATATTAAGATATATATGATATATCTATATATACTCACTTCATCAGACAGTGCGAGGAGGTCATAACGAACAATGGCGCCAGAATAACGCCAGAACAGAAATGATTGTCGCCGAAAAATCTTCTGGCCTGTCTCGTCCTTATGGATACCACAACTTTGGACAGTGGATAAACGTCATCGTCGTACTTACCATCGGAAAGGCGTTTAGTACGATTGAAGGTGGTAGATGATTCATTTCTTGAAGGATCTGAAGGATCTCTGCCATATGTTGGCAAGATCAGTGAAAGAAATAATGAAAACCAAAAATTTTGACAATTCATGACAGTTTTAGCGGGTGTTTAGTGATTAACAAATAAATCTAAGTAATTTATTTTACAAATTTAATAGTTTTGTCTATATCTTAGCAGATTCTTAAACCAATTCTAACTTCTCAGTAAGCTAGAACCATAAATTCTCCAACTTCAAGTCATTTAAAAGCACTTTAAGCCATTAAGAACAAACATCGGAAATCCTATATATATTATAGGAGTATATATATATATTTGTTAACATCCAAGCTAGCTTTACTGTGCTGAATTTAGAGTGCCCCCAGAAGTGGCTGCAACAAAATTGGAGGGATTAAATAAACGGCAGCAGAACAAACCATTTTACATGGCAATTATGCAGGAACAAGCCTCGGACCACCCTCAAACCCCCCCGTGATCCCTGACCCTCGCGTGAGTCGTGTAGAACTAGACCCATTTCAGTAGTCAATTTAAGGATGAAGGACGAAAGTCCATGCATGGAGCAACATGTGTGCACGCGCCGCTGCTCATTGGAAATTCAATTTTCAATAAATGCACACAAATTGATTTCCAGCTTGGGGCCCTTCAAGCGGAGTTGCGAAACACAATCGCACGCACACAGCTGCTCCCCCCATACCTATACACACTCACACACTCACCCACCCACACACTCACACTCACACACCTGCATTAAGTGTAAAACTTTTCAATTTACGTTCTGTTGTTTTTCGAGCATCAAATATCCCGGGCTGTCAAAAGTATTTGTCGAGAGATTTTCGGCTCCACTTGGAATGGGAATGGGAATCAGAATGGGTATGTGGATGGGTTGTGTTCCGATCCGATCGCTTGCCCTTTTATCTCCGGGCTCGTTATTAGACTTTTTTTTTTGTGCGCCACTTAAAGCAATTCCCTTTCCGAATTCCGTATTCAGTATGCCATTCAGTAGCAGCAGAAGATGAGGGGACACCTCGCACACCTTCGCTCCGTACATATATACACTCGTAGATTCCATATGCCACACGTATGCTCGCTTATCCGCGGCTGAAATTCCGCATCATGCAGCGCAAACACTTGTTAATTACTTTTATTATATCCACAGCTTCACTTGCACAGTCACGCAATTCATCGGCTGTGAATCGCCGTATCCGGGTCGGAGTGTGGAATATGGGGTACGAGGCGAGAGTACCCAGAGTTCTGGTGTGGTCCTCCTGGTTCCCGGACAAGTGGGCTACAACGAGTACGGCATTATTGCCTGTTGCTTTTGCCACTGGCACTGGCTATGCCACACAGCTGATGTGGTCGGCCGTAAACATGCGGCAGCGAATGAGGTGGGCGTGGAATTCCGCCATACTCCCATTTTGCCACACTCAACAGTAACGGGTCGTCGTCACACACAAGTAATTGCAATCAGCACCTTGGCAACAAGCAGCTGCGCCAAAATAACAACAACAACAAAAAGTAAAAAAAGAAACTGTGCCACGGATGTATTTATTTATAAAGCAACCCGTAACTTACGGTGCGTGCCGCCGTATATCTTAACACCTGAATGCCAAACGAACTCTTGGAACTCAGCTCAAGCGAGTGGATTTAAATTTATTGGTAAGTAATGAGATTTCATTCGTATTCCCTTTTGATTTAAAGTCCATTGTTGATCTCCCTTAAGCGGCCTTCTAGTGTTAAACGGTCATCTGCCTGCAATTTATATGCTAATTAAGAATTCTTTATTACATTGTCTTTGGCACAGAGAAAAATACGTGGCATTTGTAGGTTGAAAATTCAATTTTTGTTAAAAAAAAAAAGAAATTAATAGTAAAAAAGGCAAAGACCTAAAATTCCTTTAACTGCAAAATATATTCCCGGTATTTTCTATAAATATATATATAGAAATATTTTTTGTAGCTGTCAAATCTTTAACACAAAGGTATCTACATTATCAAACGGATAAGTGTCACATTTTCCGCACAACGGGGCGTATGCTTAACGCATTGGTGTAGATACACCCCTTGGGTGATTTACGTTGCGTATACGCATTACCAGCTAAGCCAATTTTCAGCGAAACAAGTGCCACAATTATGCGGCCTTATTCCATGTGGAAATTAACGCGAATTGCCAGCCATAGCCATGATTGGCATTGTTTTCGTCGCGTGTCACGAGTGTCAAGCGTGCCGCAAATCAATTGAAATCAAATGTGCAACAATAAAGAGCAAGGCCGGTCACAGCAACATCAACGTATCGTATCGATTGCCTGTCACTTGAGATGCGTCCGTGTCAGCCCGGAGTGGTAATAATTTAGCAACTAATTAAGCGACGGAAATGAGGAGGAATAATACGGAGATACATATGAGGACAGACATGGACACAGATTTTTACCCACCTCATCAGCTACACACATACACACAGCTATATATAATACATATAGATCCAATCCAAAATGGCGTAGATACACGCACACATAGAGATAGCTTTTCCAATTAAATTTATAACTTATTTATGATGGCAAGTAATCTTCTTTGGGCATTAGGAGATGTAATAAAAATGATTGAAATATAATTGAGAATTGACATAAAAGCCAAACAAACACACACACACACATACACAATCATCCCACACCATTTACACATACATATAGACACATCTAGCTTATAAAATCCTGTCGGCTGGCTTGGCAGGCACTTACAATCAACGATTACCTTTACACCTGCCATTGTGAAAATAAGCCATAAGCGGAAATTACATCAAAAGGATATTGTTATATCGATGAGCAGCCATCGAGGAGCAGCTAGAAGGTAGCAGGCAGCAGGCGTCACAGCTGTAACCGAAAAGCAGCCAAATAGCTGAGAAAAAATAAAGTATGGCAAAAGGTGCCATAAAATAAATAACACGACGAACCAAATAAACATTTTGGCAAAGGCCAGGACCATCCAGAATCCGTGGCTTCCGAATCCAGACTTCAGACTCCAGAACGAATCCAAAAACTTCCATGTGCCATGTGGCTGGCATGTGTGCTGGGCTCTCTGTGTGTGTGTTTTGTGGGGCGGATGTTTGGCATAAAATAGACTTATCCTAATGAAAAAAGTCTCGCAGGCACGTTAAGTAAGATATGTGATACCAGGAGGCGATGTGGCAATGTTCAGAGGGATGTGGCTGCTCTCTCTGGCTGAAAAGTGGAACCTGAAGGCAATCTTTAAGGCGTCGAAACGTTAAAAGTTAGGCCTGGCAATAGTGAAAGCTAAGCGGCTTATGGCCCAAGCAACATTGCCAAGCACAAGGACATTCGAGAACAAGGTAGAACAAGGCCTCTTAAAGATTGCCAATGGGTGTAGATATCCCGGACTCATTTGCTTAGTTTCCTACGATACGATAAGAATTTAAATTGAAATAGTTTTTTTTCTCTCTCTTTTCTTTGCTACGGTAGACATAGCCCAGGGATGACGACATGAAATTCGTGTGTTCCTATTTCGACTAATTTTGTAATTTATGCGGGACCCACAATTTACATAGGCAAATGAATGGCGTAGAGAGGAACGTGCAGAACCCTCTGGGGGCTTTTAGTTGTATTAACTTATGTTGATGGCCAAGAGATAGGTTTAAAAGCAGGTAAGTATCAGCATTGCTCGCATATTTTCGACTACCAAGAAGGCATAAAGAATTCACATCCACGATGCGGCTGTTTCTGCTACTGCATTCCTTATTTTGGGTCAATTGGTGGAGCATCGAAACTTTATAGCTATAGCCGGTCAATGGTCTCTGCCCATTTTGCGCCTCAAAAGACCACTTGAAACCTCAAGGACCCAAGGACTCGCGAACCACTCGCTTCATTTTGTCAGCCCTTTGTCTTAGCCTGCGGTGAAATGTTTGCACTGGGCATTGTCATCTGCAGGAGACGGGCAAAAGCCAAAGGAGTCAAGTGTTCATTATGCTCGAGGATGCCGCTCTCCGCTGGCCACTTGAGCAGTGTGAAAAAGTGGAAACCATAGGACTCCATGCACTACGAAAAATAATTATGATTTTCTTCTTGAACTTTGTAAGTTTTGGATTTTTTTTATGTAAAATGAATTTAGAGTGTAATTATGGGGAATTTCTGATGATTTCTTAAGGCCTTCTTTGCCAATATTTCTTGTAATTTAATAGGAAAATCCTCTTTCTAGAGCAAACAACCTTTGAAAATGCTTTTTATATAATAATCTGCTGAAGTTAGTTGGGAATTTATGGAATCAGAGGTCGTTAAAGAGGAAAACAGTATGTCTTTATAGATTTAAATTAATTTTTGATAGTAAAGAGTTTACTCCCATTGCCTTTTCCTTAAACGTTGTCAAATCCACTTCGTATTGGGCCCTTTTGTACATTTTTTGTCCAAGTGCCTCGGAGGCTGACAGCCTTCCTCCTAGATAAAACTGGTAAATAGAAAGGCTGCAGATGCCGCAGCTGCTGTTGCAGTCGCATTCCGTGGTTATTGTTGTGGCTGCTGGTGGCGGCAGTCCTCGAATTCTAAAGTGGCCGGGAAGTTGCGACGTCTGCAGATTGTCTGTTTGATTATTTGAGTAGAATTTAATTAGCAATCGTGGGCGGTGGCGAATTTAATGCATAAATCAAATGACACTGGGTACTGTTTTTTTTTTTTTTTTTGGTAGATTCATGAGTTAAAAGGAAGCGCCGGCAGGCAGTACGGCGACCTAATTGCCAAATGACCTGCATTCGGGCTCAAGATACAAGGCACAAGTGGCTGGCCGGATTCGGGGAAACAAGCGGAAGAAACAGCTGAAAGGCGAAAAACAAACAAACAGGAGGTAACTTTGTCGTTATTACCTTTTATTAACTGAAAAGCTGAGGGTCTGATGGGTTCCGGTTCCCAAAAGGGTGGTCGGCCTGTTGAGATTCAACCTTTAAAGTGGGTGGGAATTATTTAAAGCATTTTACGTATTTCCATGGGGGACAGTCCACCATTGTCTTTGACATTCTTCGCTGAAGGGTATTTCCAACTTCGTTGCTTGAGCTGCTGGCAGCTGGCTGCTGGCTTCCACCTTTTCATTTCTGGCTCGCGGCATGTTTTTCATTTTCCTTTTCAATTACCCCGCCGCGACGTTCAGTTGGCGCATTTCTCATATATTTTTTTTTTTTTTTTTGGTCTGGGCCAGGGATTGTTTGTCTAAAAGGGAGGAGAGATGGGTCGAGCAGGAGCCAGGATTCCGGATTCAGGACTCAGGATCCTGGGTCCGCTGCTACTCCTTGCACGGCTGCATGCATTTAAGTCTAATTGGGAGGCTGCATTGTGTGCGATATGATATTTCGCTTCGTTTCGGACTTTAGCTCGGAGGGGCTTTAGCCTAAGCGCCTCAGTTTAAGCCTTTTTCAGTTTTCAGCTTTCAGCTGGAGAAAACTTAAAGCCACCAGAGGGTAGCCTACCATAGGCATTGGCAGTAGGGCAATGTAATAAGGAAATGGCAAAGGCAAATACAA